GACAATTCCTGATGAAGGTTCACTCAGAAACTTGTCATACATCTCATTGAAGTCCTCTAGAGTCGGATCTCTCTCATGACTGGATGTTTTTATGCATTTTTTCCTTGTCATAGCTCTTAGTTTCTCACGCAACTTCGTCTTTCGTGGAGTTCCACAGCTCAAAAATGCTTGTGTTTGAGTACCAGTTACAAATTGAAGAAGGTGAAGAACTCTGACCTGGGACTGGAAAAAACTAATGTAATTCATTCATATAGTGATATATAATTTGATAAAACTCTTGATTTACCCTAATTTCTTTTTAAACTGGTACATACATTATGTGTGTAAAGAAATACACGAGTTTTAAGAAAATCAAAATAACCCTACGCAGAATAATAATTGACATTGTTTTCTTTCCTCATATTTCATAAAAACATAAGAAGTGCTTACTGGCACTGTGAGGAAATATGGATGGAACCGCATTTTGGAATAGATGTTTACGAGTTCCAGAATGAGAAATGACTTCTTTGGCAAAATGTTTCTCACATACTCTATAGTTTCTATGCAAGGCATTGATACCTAATAGATCCTCTGTTACATAACCGTAGCCAACAAGCAGCCCTAAAAAAATATTAACAAAATATCAATTTATTTGCATGGGACATTTCCAAATGATTATAAATACAATGTTCAAAAAACTGCGTTGAGATAATGCTGATTAATGAAAATTATTAACATTTACCTACCTTGTAGAATTCTCTTGAATTCTGAACAATCTTGTATTTTCCCCAGTTTTTGTAAAACAACCACGAACAACACAAACTGTTCCTCCTTTGCAAAACATTCTCCTGTATAAAAGATATTTCACCTATTCATAAATTTTATTATATTCCAATAGTTACTGAAATAAAAGTTATAATCAATAACAAAGGAACGTTGAGTGGAAAGTGAAAAGTGAGGTTGAAGTTAAAACCACCTGTAATTGCACATGCGTATAAAAACTAGATTCTGGCGGGAGGCCTAGCTTTCGCATCTGTATTTAATCTGTGCTCAGAGTAACAAAAGACAATAGAGAGGCATTTTCCATCCTTACATTGAAGGCAACATAACTTTGTTTACGGGAAGTAAGTTGGACCATAAAACAGTGGCGGTTGGCTTAGTTGATAATCGGAGTGATATTATATATTTATAATATAAATCATTTCAGGTGAAAATGTATTCTGTTCAAATAGTTCCTACAAGAAATCTGATTTATTATTAATGATTATGGAAATGGGGCCAGTTTTTCTACCAACTACTAGATTTTTATTTATGTATGGCTTTATAATAAAGCGCGTGGTTTACTGGGTTCAAATTAAATTTCTTCAAATGAACTAATCCATAACAATGATAAATGTTAATTTCAAAAGTAATGAACTTTACTTCATGAAATCAGATGAAGAAATTTGTGATTTATTCTCAGATTTGATAAACAAGCGGTACGGTTTGTGAGGTCAGATGTAAAAAATGTTCGATTAGAAATCATGAATATTTATAATTACGACTGGGGTTTGATATTATTCAGTGATTTCATTCAAAATTGGTATCTAGGTGTCTTTGTGGACAGAAATTATGTTTTTTTTCAATAATTCATGCTGACGAATTCTATAATTATAAAAAATCATTAATGTAAATGAAAAAAACTGTATACGTTTTCACCTGAAATGATTTATTTCATAAATATATAATATCCCTCCGATTATCAACTAAACCAGCCGCCATTATTTATGGTCCAACTTACTTCAAATGTTGTACTGAAAAGGATAGTACGATACCCGTTTCAATACACATGTATTGTATTCGTATAGGCACCGTACAGGCATGTCAACTCTATGTCTTATTATTACTCTGAGGGTTGAGCCATCGACATAACCTCACTATGTCGGTGGGTTGCGCACGCAGTAGTAAGGGGTAGAGGTATTACAATTTCATTATGTGCTTTAACAATTTCGTCAACAATGTTGACGAAATTGTTATTATATTTGGTTTTATGTTCAATCACAATCCTCAAAAGTTCTGCTTTAACCATGTTATCCTCGAATATTATACTTTTTAAACGCATCCAGTCTTGAATTACAGCGTTTTTTGTGGCTGTAGTAGAAATTTTTTCAGCTTTTCTGGAATGGTATGGAGCGTTGTCTAAAACAGTTACACCATTCTCTTCTAGTTTGGGAACTATGTTCCTAAATCAATTCTCAAAAGATATGCCATCCATGTCCTTATGATAGCATTTCTTTTCATACGAATAACATAACATAACAAGATATCTTGTTCACAAACATACACAGTTTCTTGAGAGTATAATAAGGTGATTTTTACCTGGAGGGTTCTTCGAGCCATTTAAGAGGTTTGTTTCGAAGAAGTTATTGATTCATCAACCCAAAAGTTGGACTTAGTGTGGTCTGCGTTTACCCACGTTTCATCCAAGTGATAGATTTTTCTATTCTCTGTTCTGTTTTCATTAAATATTATCCTCTCCACAATATTCCTAATGCATAACATCCGTTATGCAATACGAGGAGACTAGTCTACTGCGCCGAAGGGAAGCAAATTGCAAAGACCAAAAAAACGAAGAAGAAAAGAAATAAAGAATTTGTCGCATTGTTACTTGTTATCTTGTTACTTGTTACCTATCACAGACTAGAGATGTGTTGTGATTGGCCGACCTGTGATTTTGTCACTGTGACTAACTTGTCACGGGAGTGACCAGTTCCGACGAACTAAAAGTTGACGTGATTTTCAGTCACAGTTCCGAGGTTCCGACTCCGACTCGAAACGACTGGGGACGAACGTGCATGATGATCGTGATCGTGTATTTCGTCAGAGTCGGAGTAGGAACCATTGATTACCAGTTTCCAGTTTCATTTGCTTTATCGCTACGATCAAAAGCTCACTGTAATCACAGTAACATTTCTGCCTAGCCGTTATGAAGGTGACTCCTATTAAATTTTTATTTGAAATTATATTTTAAATAAAACATTTTTTTCAACTGAAAATAAACTTTACTCTTATAAATTCGGAAAATAACAAAAATAAAATAAAACAATATTCAGTGTATAGTAAAAAAAACTTTGGTAATAAAATGAGATCAAATGTTTCTCTTGCGATTTGCAAAATGTCAAGATTCAATTTACATTGAGAAAAACAAGTTTTTGAACTTTTTCAGAACTTAAACGTGCTCGTCTATCAGAAAGAATCTGCCCTGTTTTTGAAANACACTCATTTCGTTCAATTTTCAGACGGTGATTTGTGAAACGTGTAAGATTCCCATATTTTTTGTACAGAGATCGAGAAGTAGAGAGCCAAAATCTTTCTTTCTACAATATTATGTATTATATTATTATATGCTGCACACCAGTGCACCTGTAAACATTATTTTTATATTTTTTTAATATAAATGACCATGAGGATGAATTGTTTTCAAACTAAAATTTAGATGTCGAAATGAATGTTCATTTATTTCGATATCTAAATTTTAGCTACGTTCACCCGACATATACGACCGTATCACGAATCATAATATTTATAAATCTTTTCACTAGACTGCGATTAGTACTACAGATGAGCAGATTAGTTTTGCTAGAACTAATTTTGAGATTAGGAGATGTTAAAATTAGACGAAATAGATCATCATTTATTCTCAGGTTGACAAAAACTACGTCATTGTGGTGAAATGATAGATGAATAAGCTGTGTATAACCGCACACATAGACTAATTGCAATTGTTTAACACTGAAACAAGATCATAAGTATATATGCAGAATAATAACGGCCCTAGTATCGATCCTTGAAACACTCAAAGTTTAATGAACCTACAACCTGATTTGCCCTTGGACGTTTCTATAAATTTTGAATCTGTTAAATCTGTTTTTCCAATAACCAGCTGTCGCTCCCCCTACAAACGACAACTTTCAAAAATCAAAGCTTGTACAAGTTAAGGAATAAATCATCAAGATAACTTTTTATTCTTACAATAATAATTAATTGAAATTCCCTCAACTTTCAACTTCCATCTCTGTATACCATTTGCATGTCCGCCTAAAATCATCTCCCAATTAATATTATAACAGACAGGCATTTTCGATCAATTTCCAAGGTATCGAAAGAAATCACCGGAACCACCTTTGATCCGCCTTTTCGGACACGTGGCCCACGTCAACGTTTTCCGACAGAAATGTACTCAGTGAAATTTTGTTTATTTTCGACTTAAAAATACCCTTCGCAGGCGGATATACACTACTTTTTCGACATGTGTGCGCGCTGTGTGTTGTGTTAGTCAGGATGTCCCGTTATTTCAGGCCATCCGAGGTGAGAGTAATGGTGCATTGTGCGCAATATATGAATATTATGTGAGACGGTCTGTTGCATTAACATAGAATGTTGATGACGGGGTGTTTTCTAGACGAGGTTGAACGACCTCGTGACGGTTTGAAGGTCGAATGAATAATGTGTTATAGGCTCTAATGGTTTTTAATGAGCATTGTGATTGTTGATTGCATCTATTGAATATCTGTGAAGCACAAACCGGCAATTTATTTCAGTCGAACAAAAAATCAATTATTGAATCGTTGCTTTCAGGAAATTGAAAAATAATAAAATATTTCATCTGTGTTACTCAAAAATATTTCAATATTTCAATGATTTCGAATTCGATCATAGTAATACTCTGTGAGAATCACAAGATTAGACCTGCCGTCGAAAGCGGTGAAATGGGGATATGAATTCAAAAATGAATCGAAAGTCATAAAAGGAAAAATCCTGTCACAGTAATTTCATGTTGGCAAAATCGAATTCGATCATAATAATAATCTGTGAGAATCACACGATGAGACCGCCTATCGAAGGGGGTCAAATGGTAATAAAAATTCAAAAATATATCGAATCTTATACAAGGAAAAATCCTGTCACCATAATTTCATGTTAGAAAAGTCGAATTTTATAATGGTATAATATTGTGAGAAGCAAAAATATGAGTACAGCACGGCTGAGTACAGTAAATAAGCAGAATAAGCTAAACCTAAATATTCTTTTCCGGAAGGGTTTTACAAGAGTAAATAGGGAGCGTCATGTCATATTCTTCAATTCAAATACTGTTACATTTTGTTTTTGTACAAATACAGATGATATTGATTGATGATACTCAAAGCAACCCGAATCACGATTTCATTGGCGCTGAACTGATAATTTTATTGTAGTAATTAAAATCTAAATTGCAGTTTCAGTTATGTAGAGTACAAAAATCAATATGAATGAACCATTACTAGGTATTGCTGTTCATATCAACTTTTGATTCGAATCGTTTCAGTAAATTATCTTCTGAAAAACACGTTCTTCGATCATACGATTCCGAGAACTGATATCTAGGTCTAGGCTCCCACTCTTGTGCCGATCGTCGTCACACTTGTCAACGAATCAGTCCGACGCCGTCATCAATCACGACTCCGGAAAATCACAGTGATTTTGAGCTGTGACTTTACCGGAGCAGTCACGGTTAGTCACAGTTCCTTAAAAATCCTGTCACACCACATCTCTATCACAGACTACAGTCACAGTATTATACAGAAATACTGTGGAAATACTGTGCTACAGTCAGTATTCTGTGTTACCTATGTTGTGGCGTCGTTGAGAACAAATCCTATGCAATTTGCTGTGGTCATTTGTATTCAAAAATAATGGCCGCCGATTGTGGAAGAATTATTAAGGGCGAACTTGAATCTGTTGGGGATGAAGTGGTTTTTGAAACAATTTTCATGAAATGTGAAACAAGTGAAACTGAAATGGTCGGTGAATCTGGGAATTATATGTTTGGTAGCGAAATGGTTACACATAACTTCGAAGAAAAATATGATATAGATCAGATTAAAAGTGAAAATGTCATTGATGTTTACCATGAACCCAAATCAGAAAAATGTATAGAAAATATAAGTGAAGGCTCTCAAAATGAGTTCCTTGATATACAGGGTAAGATATGACTCATGATTCAAAACCCCCCACATTTCCTTCACCACAGGTACTGTAGTCTGATGAAGTGTTTTGGCATTTAGTAATTTAATCTCCAGCGATTCAAATCCAACGTGAATCACAGGCACCGCTCTTGGAGCGCCTTAACGATTTCCTGTAGTCTTGTGGTTTTAATTTTATTGCTAAATTTTTGTTGCTATGATACCCACACCGGAATGAACATTCCCATAATTTTTATGCTTTTTTATTTCTCTACCAGCTGATATTTTCATTACTTCTGTGAAAAGATTGTAACACTTAGAGTACTATCACACATTTAATGCAAATTCTTTGATAATTATTTTCGATAGCAGAAAATCGCCTGACACCCAAAACACTTCAAACTTTTATGCCTCTCGCCAACAAACTAAACATGTACCAACATGAAAAAAATTGCTAATCGAATATACGTGAAATATGAACATTTCCCTTATTTTTTTAACAGGCCTCGTATTTTCTTTGTTATTGTATATTGAAAAATAGTAGAATATTCTGATCTGTATTCCTGTGAGGACAGTACAACTGTTGATCCTTCTTGGTGAGTGCATTTCAGAATTTGATGTACATGGTACATTCAGTTGTATATAAAAGGCTCTAACTTAGTTGAAAGATATAGTTTTAACCTTCTCCTGATGATTCTACCTTGTTTAGTGAAACACATGCAGAGAGAGTGCTCTAGTTATAGTGTGTGGAGAAGGCTTTCATTAGATTAATTTTATGCCAGACATTCCAGTTCTACCTATCAATCAAAGTTGTGACATGATAATTAATTACAAGAAACCTCAAGAAAGAAATATGTTGGAATTGTCCGATAATTGATGAAAATCCATAACTAACGTATTCAAAAAACACTTCATTGTGAGATTTTCACTAAATACTTTTACAAAAATGCAACATGTGTTTCGCCATACAATGGCTTCTTTGGGTGTAAAGACACGTCCATTTTTGTTAAAACTGTTTTGTGAAAATCTCACAATAAAGTATTTTTTTAATAGGTTTCTTGAGAAAAATAAAATATGAATGAATATACTTTGTTTTATTATCAATCTGTTTGATTGGATTGAATTAAAATAGTTTGTTTGATTATATATTGGACTCTTTATGGCCAGTAAATAGTTTGTGTATAAATACACATTTCCTCATATCATGAAAGGTTTAAAATTTTTGTTTTGTATAAATTCGTTTTTAGCAAAGCAAAGTAGTTTCATATGGCAGTTCTCCAAGTTCGGTTCAATAGCTTCCACGTTCGTTTAAAATTAATTGAAGTGATTACAAATCTTAGCTTTTTCTTTTCCCTGAATATTGTTTATTGTTAGTTATGATGGTAGTGGAGTTGTTGATTTATTTATTGCTTCATTGATTATCTTCCAACTTAACCTTGATATGTTATTGGCATTGCTTATTCTATTATTATTATTATATTCTAATTAAGCCTTCTTGAGTTTTTCTCTATACTGATGCAATCATTTAGTGTATGTTTGACTATTTTTGACATTTCACATAACATCTGATGAAGGTTCTTTATTTCTGAGTTGAAGCATGGCTTTTTGTTATTCTTCATTTTTTTCTTTTTTAATGTGAAAGCAATATTGATGTAATATTGAAAAATGGATTGAAAACAATTGTATGCCTCATCTACAGTTTTCGAATTAAATACCTCAGTCCATTTTTCATTTATTACTAAGTTTCAGAAAGTTGTTAAGTTAGATTTTGAAAAGTCATATTCAAATATAATTTCATCTGACTCATAATCATTTAATGAAAATAGAAATTCACAAGTCTGAAATGTATGGTCTGATAATGAATAGATTAGAGAATATTAATCTATACCAGTTGAAACAGTTGTAGAAATAGCAGTTGGTTTGTCAATGTGGTTTATCATGTCAAATTCCTTGAATAAATTAATTACTTTGTGAGTGTCTTTATTTTCAGTTGAAAAATTTACATTGATGTCACCACATACAATACAATATAATTTGAAATCTCTGAAAGAACAAATAAAATAAAAATATCAATTATAATAAGCAATAAAACGTTAAATGAAATTACAATAAAATAAAAATGAGAAAAATATTGTTCTAAAATTGAAAAATTTAAAATGAAATTAAGTAATTTGAAAAGATTGTAAACCAAGTTACTTCACGATTTTTCGATTCTTAGTGTAATAACATTTCTGTATATTTAGGGGTAATTGATTTGTTTTACTTTTACACCAAGAAGCTAAACAGTCAATATCTCTCTGGAGTAATTTACAGTCTCTTTGAAATTCAATGACTTTATGGTGTTGTCTCTCCTTAGATCATTCAGAGCTCTTCGTTCTTCATCGCTGATGTTTGAGTTTGGAACTGGTTCTCGATCCAGATGTTCTCTGATTTTCCATCTAAATTCTGCTGCCTCGGTCTGACAAATAAGAGAACTGGTGGAATCCACTGCAGTAATTATCTCCAAAGTGGGCACAGATGTTGGCGCAATGGCGAACATGGATTCCTGTATGTCCGCGAGCGGATGGGAACTCGTGTTGATGACGTTTGCGGTTTCGTAGTTGTCCTGCTTTTGATCTGCATTTGAGCATTGTTTCCTAATCAACTTTTCCCACTTCCTGTTGTGGGTATTCTCCATGTCTTGGCGGATCTTTAAGCATATGCTGTCAATTTTGGCAAAGATTGGTCCATGATCCTCTTCCATGGTCTCTCTTCTTATTTCTTCAAATCGTTCTGTGGCATTCTGCATCAGAGTTGACTTCTTCCAACGATGGTAATTAATTTGAGACATAATTAGTGCTCCGCTGGCGCGTTCCAAAATGCGTTTGGCTCTTTCCCCTGGGACTGGCGATTTCGGCAGAAAACCTTTGAAGATTATGTTGCTTCACACAAAAAACTGGGATGAGCTTTTTCCTTGGTGAGCTTGATCATAATCTTCTCATATCCTCGAAATAAGTCGGTGTACCGGTGTTCAACGTTTGTTTGAAAGTGGTTGACATGGTTTCATGGTGAATTTTATTAGTTCGGACTTCCATTGTCTATTGATCATAATATGATTTGAAATCTCTGAAAGTTCAAAAAAAAAATTAAACTGAATAGCCAAAAATATCAATTATATTGCGTAAAATAAAAATAAGCAAAAACTTAAAATTAAAAATCGAATTATTGATAATGGAGATAAAAAATTTAAAAATATTTCAAAGCAAGTTACTTCACGACGTTTTGATTGTTAGTATCCACAATCACTGTCAACCTCTTTCAAACATCCAATCCTGTGGAACTTACAAAGTTATAGGGCAAGTCTATTTGGAAAAAAATTCTACAAATAAAACACAAAACATGGAGATTATATCAATCAAACATTTATTGAATCATCTCCACTAGACGAAAAAACATAATATTTACATAAAATACTGGCTGATTCAACAGGTCAAACAAACAAAACATAAAATTAGTATTCAAGGAGAAACTCATTAGAAAAATCTTGAGTCGCCTTTTGAAGGGGATTTAATGTCCTCACTAAGCTTATTATATAGCTTAACTCCACAGCACATGCGGGTTAAGCTATATTATATAAGCATGTAACTAAAATTAAACTGTAAACAATTTGCCAGGCAATCCTGTCTAAGCCAGAGAGCTTCACCTGAGCCGTTTTCTTTAAACCACTAGGCAATTGCACCATAAGTGATCATTGGTCTGACAATTTGGGTCCCAAACCCCAAGTTTTAACACAAATCCTTCGACATATCCCTAGAGAGAATCTGGCTTTGTGTAAAACTTTTCCCAAGTCAGCGTTCCAAGTGAGTTTTTCATCAAGGACAATGCCAAGATATTTCACCTCAGTTCCAAATGGAATGACCAGACCATTAAGGGAAAGTGGCGTTAAATCGTCAAATTTTCTCCTCCTGGTGAAGGGGATTATCACAGTTTTGCTGGGGTTGCCAAGATGACAAGGTCATCTATATAAGCTTGCAGATCTACTTCTCTTCTGTTGAGGGCATCAAGCTGACTATCCATCAGGAGCGACCACAGAAGGTCGATAGTACCCCACTTTGAAGACAGCCCCTGATGACCCTGAACCTAATGGCCTCGCCTTTCGTAGTTGCAGTTTTGTTTTCCAGCATGGCATAGATCTAGCCAGTTATGGTCGATTCTATACCTTTCATAGCCAGAGATGATCTTATACATGTTGGTAGTGCATTTTCAAATGCTCCTTCAATATCGAGAAATACAGCGACCGCAATCTTTTTGTTGTCAAGGGATTGGGAAATTTTCAATGTAATGTAAGTCAAATGGTATGAAATTTAAACTAAATCAATTCTAGGAATTCTTGATCTATCAAGACTTTTTAAGTTGTCTTGATAAGTTGGCAGACTTCTTAGATTGTATGGGAGAAAGTTGTACAGGTACAAACCAAAAGTATATAGTGCTCTTTTGGATAATTCTAGGTTTTTGAAAGGCACGTAAAAGTTATCTTTTTTCCTTGTATTGTGAGTATGAGTGTCACTGTTTCTTAAAACGAATATGCCAGTAACTGTTAATATTTTGTATCCTTTGAAAAAAATCGACATGACTGAATTTGTACTTTTCAATTGTAGTGATTCATATTCTTTACCTTTTAATAGTAGTCATTTGCCTATAATGTGGTAGAAGTATCCGATAAGATCATGGGCAGATCATTAATATATAAGATAAACAATATAGATCCTTGTGGAAATCGAAGTGCATTAATCTCCATTGATGAGGAGACAGACCTCCCTAATTAGTATATTTTAACTATTTGAGATCTGTCTCTTAAGTACAAGTCCAACCAATCATATGTAATACCTCTGATTCCGTACCTATATAAGTTTAGTAACGTGCTATGGTGAACACGCTCAAAAGCACGGTTGAAATCGCAAAAGATTCCAGTAGGACTCTGACCACTCTCAATGGCTTCAATAATCTCCTCTTAAATCTCCTGTTAAATCATAGCATATTGGATTATATTTGATATTACAGAGGGTACGGATAGTGGTCTGTAGTTTTTTTATATTTTCAGGACATCCTACCTCTAATATTGGAGTAATTATTTATTATAAAATGAGCCAGTGGGGCAAGTTAGTGACGGTTCCAGAGGTTCCATCAAAGTCACTGGATCGTTTATTATTTATCTTATTTTTTATTATTTGAAGAAAATCTTTTTTATCTACACGAACAATAAACATGCTATTTGTCGTTTATAATGCTTTTAGGCGTTTTTATAAAAAAGTCATTAAATTCATTTGCAATTATTGATGGATCCAGTATGTTATTACCATCTTTTATTTTCATTTGAATAATATATATGATGGAATTGGTCGATACTGATGAAGATTTATAATTAACATATTCAAGAAACATTTTATTGTGATATTTTCACTAAAGCAAATTCAAATCCAAGATAGAGTGGATGTGAACATTGACATGCCCTACGCACGTGATATTGAAAAATCCCAAGAATTGGCCAGGGTCGTATTCAGAACCAACATCTTGTTGATCGCAAATGCTATATCATACTTAGGAAAACTTTTTTATAATAACGAGTGACATGCACAAGTTTTGCAGTTTAACGGGAAAATGCAGATAATACGTGTAATATAAAAAGATTTTCATTGGATTTTTCACAGCGCACTCAAGCATTATATGAAAAGAGACGTAAAATCAAAAGGAATATTAGTAGTGTCATCCTCACCAATCTGAATTATCAGTGGCTCGATTTGTGCCTCTATTATGTTATCAAGCTTCCATATCTTTGTCTCGACTTCCGATATCACATGGCGAACACACTTCTCCCATTTCTCCGCTGTGACTCTTTTCAAAGCCTCATCAAAAAGTACTTTGAGATCTGCAACTTTGGACGTAGTGTTATGCTGAGCTACAAAATTCTTCACATCCGCCCATATTAACTCGATGGGATTGAGCTCGCAGTGGTATGGAGGCAGGCGAAGGACAATTTTGCTTTGGCCTGCTGCCATCTCATCGATCGCAGCCAATTTTGGATTTCAACCTTCTTTGAAGACGTTGTCGGAATCTTCTCTAACCGTCGCGAATGATAAGGTGCATTGTCCATTACAATCACAGCATTATCCTTCAGATGGGGTAGAACTTTGGAAAACCACTGTTCGAAAGATTCACCATTCATTACTTCGTGATAATCTCCAGTTTTCTTCGACTCGAAACACCACAGCCCTTCAGCAAGAAGGCGAATTCACCAATGAACGCTGCCCTTTCCATCGGACACTGGGCGATCACGTGAAAATCACGCTTCGGTTTTGTTTTGTTTTACTCTATCTTGGATTTGGATAGACTTTAAGACAGTTTTACAAAAACGCAACATGTATTTCGCCATACAATGGCTTCTGCGGGCGTGTCTTTAATAACTATATTCTACATAGTCAATACTTAATATACCTAATTTTACAATTTGGCGTACCTACATTTCAAGTATCTGAGTTTTACTTTACTGTGTAATGATTTAAGTTACCTGACCTCATGTGCCAGTTTCCACATTTGAAAAAAGTTTCATTAAAGGGAAGTTATTCAGTTCTGATTGATCATTCAGTAAATTACCCGAATTCTTGAATCTATTGATTCCTGAACATTCTAGAAAATTGAGTTTCAAACCCAATCATGAATACGACATGTAACATGTCGTATTCATGATTGAACTCTTCTCCTTCTGCTTAAAGGTGGTTTGCAAATGTGGAATTGGTCTTTCTATTTACAAAACTACTTCTATGCTCTTTTATTCTTTGGGAAAATGTTCTCCCTGTTTAGCCAATATACACTTTTGGGCAAGAGCAACATGTCAGCTTATATAATTCTGATATATCCGACACCAAAGTTTTGTCTTTATTGTTTTTAATAAATTTACTTAGACTATTATTTTCGGTAAGCTACGTTTACGCTTTCTTTCTTAAAAAAACAGACAATATTATTGCTTGATTCACCCAAATATGACAATGTCCTATAACTGACGTTATCCATATTGAATTTGGGTAAACCTGATACATGGCTTGCTTTTGTAGTTTTTTGGAAAGAATGGAGTCTATAATATCTACCTTATAACCGTTGTTGACCACGATTTGTTTGATCAAACTCAGCTTCCTCTGGAAATTACTCTCAGACACTGGAATATTCAATAATCTGTGAAGCATACTATTGAATGCGGCAACTTTATGCTGGTGAGGCAGTGTTGAGGAATTATGTATAATAATGTCCGTGTAAGATGGTTTGTGGAAAATTGCAAATTCATGTTTGTCATTATTATTCTTAATGGTTAAGTCCAGGTAATTCATTGAATTATTTACCTCCCTCTCAGTGGTGAATATTATTAGCGGGTGGGTGGAATTGACATATTCTAATTGCCTATCTGTACCATTAAAACAGACTAAGATATCATCTACTTATCTAGATTTCATACTCTATGTTATACATGAAAATTTCAGCCAACAAGAGACTCAAAGGGTTCCCCATTATTAGCCCTTCACTGCATGATTTTTTTTTCCTCAAACTGGAAATAATTTTAAGATAAATAAGTGAATCTGGTATTTCCTGTTTTATCAATAGATTCACGTGATGTCAGTGGATTCACCAGACCAATTGTTTGAATTGGCGGAATACTGGGAAATAGATTTTGGACATAGGAAGAGCAATTTCACCAAGGACCAAGGGCATGAGTTCAATCATGAATACGATGTGTTATGTTTAGAAGAGAAGAGTTTGAAACTCAATTTTCTAAAATGTTTAGAAATAAAAAATCTGGTAATTTACTGAATGGTGAATCAGAATTGAATAACTCCCCTTTAATAAATATTTTTTCAAATGTGGAAACTGGGACATAAGCTCAGGTAATTTAATAAATTACACACTTAGGTAAAACTCAGGTATTTGAAATGTTACTTCAAATTGTAAAATTAGTTATTTATTCTATTGAAATAAAATTAACTTTTTGTATCTTTAATAAGGGACCTATGTTTTATACTAGCCTCTTTATTTGGATATAGATAAGTTTGTTTCGCGAACTTTTTAGTTGTTGGTTGGTTATTTGGTTAAATCGGCAGTAAAACAGTGAAAAATAAATATTTTTTTCAAACAAATAATTTTGTTTGTTTGTTCATCAGTATTTTTTTTCGCAGATTCCGGGGACGTTTTTATCAAAACAGAGGATGAAAGAGTCATCGAAAAGAAAGAAGAGAGCTTCAATGAAAAGAAGTCATCAGCGTTATGTCAAAAGGAGTTTGGCACTGCAAATGACCATATTGTGAAACTTGAGATGGTACATACAACAGAGAGGCCCAATGAACATACTCATGCAGGAGAGAAATCATTTCAATGTAAAATATGTCTAAAGTCATTCAGTAAAAGAAGTAATTTAAAAGTCCACGAAAGAATTCATACTGGTGAAAAACCATTTCAGTGCAAAATCTGCTTGAAACTGTTTATTGATAAAAGTCATTTGAATGAACATGAAAGAATTCATACTGGGATAAAATCATTTCAATGTAAAATGTGTCCAAAGTCATTTGTTTTGTGTAGGTATTTGAAGATCCATGAAAAAATACATTCTGTCGAGAAAGCATTTAAATGTACAATTTGCCAAAAGTCATTTATTCAAAATAATGCTTTGAAAATTCATGAAAGAATACATACTGGAATAAAACCATATCAGTGCAAAATATGCTTGAAGTCATTCACTCGAAGTAGTTATTGGAGATTCCATGAAAAAACTCATAGTGAGGAAAAACCATTTCGATGTAAAATCTGCCAAAAGTCATTTACTCAGAATAATTATTTGAAAATTCATGAAAGGATACATACTGGAATAAAACCATATCAGTGCAAAATCTGCTTGAAGTCATTCACTCAAAGTAGTAGTTTGAAAACGCATAAAAGGACACATGAAAGGACACATACTGGTGAAAAGCCATTTCAGTGTAAAATCTGCTTGAAGTCATTTATTCGAAGCAATAATTTGGAAGCTCATGAAAAAACTCATTTGGAATGCTTCAAAACCGAGAAACCAGTGGCGTAGCTTGAGGGGGCGGTGGGGGTCACAGTCCCAGGTGGCATATGGAACGGGGCGGAAGGAAGCGCCAATTTATTGATTTGGATTTCGCGCGCGAAATCGCACGCGAAATGTTATGTACGTGTCAACTGAAAGGGTAACTCTCCAATATTCTAAAATCTCATGCGAACATCTTGGAATTTCTTTCGAAACCCTAAGACGAATCAAGAGAAAGCATATGAGAGTGAACTGAGGCGAACAAATTTCACTTCAGTAGACAGAATGATTGCTGAAATTCGTGATCGATTGTAATAGCTGCAAAAATATGCCCCTCCAATGTCTGCCCTGATGGAGGGCATGGAAGATCTCAACATTAATCATGCTCCACACTTCCTAAATACAGAAGAGTTTCGACTTGAGCCTGTACATCTACGAACCTTTGTAGGAACAGACCCAGGTAAAAAGGAATTTATCAAGTCTGGCTCCCTGGAGTTATTATAATATATTATAGTTTTTTATTTTTTAATTATCTCTTAAACGTTTGCCATTAGCAATATAAGTTGTG